GGAACAAAATGTGTAAAAATCGTTCTCCTTCACACCCTTATTAGTCCTTTAAGTTTAACTTAACATTAAAAATATTTTTGAGAGAAAATAAAAGCAAATTCGGATTTGAGGAGAGGTATAGTAAAAAAGTGATTTTTCTCTTCTTGCAACCTCCCTCTTCAGTTAAAAACTAAATGAGAGAGTTATACTATCATTAACTTTGTTAAATTGAGTCTTTAACTCGAAATTTAAAGAGTTTTAAGCCCATAAAAAATAATTCTAATAAAAGTTTTATAAAATATTTACATAATGAAAATTAGAGGAAAATGAACTATTCCTATGATTTGTAACATATTTCCATGAATGCCACTAATAAAAAAATTATTTTATCAAATTAATTTGATATAATTGTTTTTAATATGCAAAATGAAGAGTTTTTAACTCAAAATAATTTTATAAAAAATCTGCATGGTGATTCAAACTTGGGTTACTTATGTGAAATACCATGCAGATAACTATTGTGGCAACCTAGTTATTCACTAAATCTTTATAATCAAATTTATTTAAACTTAATGTCTTAAATTTTTGAGTTTTTAAATAACTTATGACTTGAACTTTCATAACTTTGAATCGACCGAGCCTCCATAGCTCGTTTATTAAGTGGGCTATTTCAACCAACTTAAAAATATAAATTTCGAGGCCTTACAAATCCTCTCATGTAATTTATGGGTTCGCTATTCGTTGTCATGCTAAGCTTTGATAAAGGACCACCCACATTATGCTGCCATTGCCATAATTGCCCATCTAGACCCCCAAAACGTCAGTCTTAGTTGATCGACAGGCCATGTTGTTTTTCAAGATCTTGTCGGAAAGGCAAATGTTCTCAGTGGGGAGCACATTGACAGCTAGAGAGTTGGCAGAGTCGCCATTAGAGCAAATTACTAGTTAGTATTGCCTCGGAGCGGTTCGAGTATAACCTGGCTTGGAGTTACACGGCATGGATGGAAAACTTTCTACGAAACAACTCGAAAGCTCATTGAGTGATTGCTGGAATTTCATTTCCTTGATGGATTCAAGTGGGCCCCGACGTGCTCCGACTCGACACTGATCCATAGGAACGGGAACTATCACTAGCGGTTGTAGTAGCAGTGGTTGCACTGAGTCTACAAGCCCGATGCAGCATCAACGAAATAGACAATGTTTTGGTTGGGTGGGGGTGGGGTGAAGATGTAGGTTGTTTGCGATGGTGTTGGTGTCGGCACGGTGTGTGGCGGTCGTCGACGCGATGAATTTTGGTTGGAATTAAGTGAAGTAGGTGTGGATAGTTGGCAGTGGGGCGGGAATGGAACGGGTCGGTTATTTTCACCTCAGTCCCGTATGGTATTTTTGTTACCTTACCCCGTCCTCATACCTGATTAAAGTGAGACGGGACGGGATCAAGGTAGGGCGAGGTAGGTCCCTTGCCCCATTCATTATTTCTTTTTATTTTTGGCTTTTGTTTTTTTATGTCTTTAATTAGTAAATGTTATTACTTTTTTACTAATTTGTTGAAAAAAAAAATTTATGTTCTCTTTAAAAATAATAATAAATTTATTATTTTTGTTTGATAAAAAAATTTAAATTTGAAATTAACTTTAAGCGGGGCAGATGGTGGGAGGGGAACTATGTTTCTCGTACCCACTTCGGGGCAATGACCCTCGCCCCGTTTACCTGGTTAGGTGGGTAATTCCCTCCCCTATTCAGGACGGGGCATATGGGTATCGGGTTGGGCGGATTTTTTTTTTTGTCATCCTAGGCCGGAAAATGATGAAAGGTTTGGGATCTACAATTCTCCTTATTTTTTATCTTCTATTTCATCTTCAATTAACATATATGTTAATTAGTGTGTGTGTGTGTGTGTGAATCAAATGAACGACTACAATTTCATAAATTATATTATCGACGATAATCAATAGTGATCGCTAATGGTCGAAAAAAACCATTGATGTTACGGACTCAAACTTCTCTCTTTTTATCGAAAACTATTGATGATCGTCGATAATAATAAGGGATAATTGCAGCAAAGGTCCCAAACCTTTCAAATTTTTTCGCAGTTTACCTTAACCTTTGATTTGTGCCAGAAGAGATCCCAAACCTTTCAAAAATATGCGCGGGAGGTCCATCTGGATGGATTCCGTCCAGTTGACCGTTAATTGACTAAGAAAAATGATTTTGACCAAATCTACTAATGGCAAAATAGTAACTTTAAAATTAATATTTTCACAACTATTATTACCAATTAAAA